ATATATTACCTCTAACGTGTAGATGTGCCACTTTTTCTTTACTCATTCTTTTGTTTAAATGCCTCTACGTTGTTTCCAGGTTCTGTCTATTACAAATAATGGAGCTATGAACTTAGTTGAACAAAAGTCTTTGTTGAACAAATGTATGATTGAGCATCTTTTGGGTATATGCCCAAGAATGATTTACTGGATCCTGGAGTAGGTTGATTCCCAGTTTTTTAGAAACCACCATACTGATTTCCAAAGTGCCTGTACAAGTTTGCATTCCCATGAGAAATGGATGAGTGTTTCCCCTTACTTCCCACCCTCTCCAGCATAAGCTGATGAATATCTTCAATATCACCATAAAACCTTTATCCAGAAACCGATGGAAACAGAGGAAGAGACACACTTCGGAACACTTGATTGAGCTCCAAAGTCTATTTGAAGAATGGAAGGAATGAGAATATGAGCAAAAAGATCAAGCCCATGATGGGTTCACCCACTGAACCAGTCACCTGAGCTAATGGGAGCTCACCAACTCCAGCCGGATTAGGAAGGAACAAGCACAGGACCAAACTAGTCCCTCTGAATGTGTTTGACAGTTGTATGGCTGGGCCAGACTGAGGGGCCACTGGCAGTGGCACTAGAATTTATCTCTACTGTATGTACTGGCCTTTTGTGAACCTATTTTCTTTGGATGTATACCTTGCTCAGCCTAGATATAGAAGGGAGGGTCTTGGTCCCTCCACAAAGCATTGTGCCTTACCTTCTCAGAGGCTTGGATGGGGGTGGGGTAGGAGGGTGTGTATAAAGAATGGGAAATGGGGAGGGAGTGGGAACTTGAATTGATATGTACAATGAAAAAAAAAAAAGATAGTGTGTTTTCTTTTAAATAAATAAATAAAATTCTACATAAAAACATAATCACACATTTATTCATGTGTTGCCTATTGTTCCTTCTTATGAGCATAGACTAAGTTACAACAGAATTGACATGACCATGAAAGATGAAAATATTTCCTACTTGTTCCATTAAGAAAGGCTTGCCATTCTCTGCTCAGATGAATAAAATGTTCAACATAATTTCCATGTGTGTAACTACTCATGTGGAGACACCAAGCTGACCTTTCCTATGATGTGGGAAGTCCTTCTGTATATGTGTTGCTTTTATTTGTTAATGAATAAAGAATCTGTCTTGGGCCTGGTAGGGCAGAATAGAGATAGGTGGAAAAACTAAACTGAATGCTTGGAGAAAGAAGTCGAAGTCAGAGAGACTCCATGGAGCCTCCAGAGGAGAAAGATGCAAGCCGCTGGCCAGAACCTTGCCAGTAGGCCAGGAGCCTCATGGTAAAATATAAGATATTAAAAATAAATTAATATGAGAGATAAGAGTGAGCTAAAAATATACATAAACTAATAGGTCAAGCAGTGATTTAATTAATACAGTTTCTGTGTGGTTGTTTCAGGGCTGAACAGCCAGGAACAAACAAGCAGACTTCTTACTACAAGCCTATGTGGGGATCATATTATGGTTATCAAGGTAGAAATGAAAAGGATGAATAACAGACTGGGATGCTTTGCCTGGAGTGAGATTTCAGCCTTATCTTGTAAGGTCTACGATCATAAACTGCATTCCTTTCTGTGTTTACCAAATGAGGAGCTCCGGTCAGGGTGGAAAGAAACAGGTTCTCAAGCTCTGGTTCCTGCCACTTGCTAAGTCCTCATGCAGGGGAGAGAACAATAAGCTTGTCATTGTTGATTCTTAATAACCAGAACATCCAAAGAATGCTATCTAGTTTTTTCCATATCTTGTGCTGGAGAGTCTACACAGAGTAGTATTGTGTTCAGAATGAAAACATTGGAGGTCAAAATGATCTTTTACAAAGTTCCAGGCTCAAAACATTCTGAATTCATGCTGTTAGGGAGTGATAATTACAGTCTTTCTTTGTACACCACCTAGACTGTAGTGGAACTCAGTGATTCTCAACCTTCCTAATGCTGCAAACTTTAATACAGTTCCTCATGTTGTGGAGACCCCCCCCAGTCATAAAATTATTTCATTGCTACTTCATTACTGTAATTTTGCTACTTTTCTTAATTGCAATATAAATATCTGATATGCACAAACGATATCTGATACATGACACCCCTCGCAGGGGGTGGGTACCCACCGGTTGAGAACTGCTGTCCTAGAATAATTATTCACAAATACAAATTCTTTCAAAATCTTACATTCCTTTCACTTTCAAAGATTTTTCATTTTCAAATAGTGTAATGCTCGTTGAGGGTCAACGAGTGACCATGACCTCTGACTAAAAATTATCTTCCCACTGAAAAGGCAAAGATACTCTGAAGATCTGATATTACCCAGACTAGAAATAGACCTGATTGTCTGAATTTTTAAAGGTGGTTAAAGACAGTCTAGAGAGAGGACTTTTCTCCCCAGCAGCATTCTAACCTGGGACATAGTATATTCTGCCAGCTTTGGCCTGAAGATTCATGGTCTTCTGTAGTTAGTTGTTTTTTTACCCTTTTGTCTTTTGGGGCGCTGCCACCCAGCTTCCAAATAAATAACATGGAGATTTGTTCTTTTTTATGAATGCACAGCCTTAGCTTGGTTTATTTCTAGTCAGTTTTTCTTAACTCAAATAATCCCATCTACATTTGGCCTCGGAGCTTTTATTTTTCTCTGTTTTACACACCTTTCTTTACTTCTTACTTTGTGGCTTGCTGTGCAGCTGAATGGATGAACCGTGATGCCCCCTCCTCCCTCTCTTGCTTCTCAGTCTCCCAGATTTCTCCTATTTACTCTCTCTCCCTGTCAGCTCCACCTATCCTTTCTCCTTCCTTGCCATTGGCTGCTCAGCTCTTTATTAGAACAATCAGGCGTTTTAGACAGGCAAAATAACATAGCTTCAACAGAGTTAAACAAACACAACATAAAATCATGAGATCTACCAGGTTACACAGAAGATCAGCTGACATTTGGAAGGCCAACCCACCAGAGATTTACACATCTGATGGATGATAAATTCACATAGGCGTGGCCTGTGAAAAATGCTGCCTTTTGAGTAGCTGGCTGCCTCTAACTAAATTTACTTGTGTGATAAGATACTACCCTTCTAACCCAGCTTTGAGACTCTTAAGCAATGTATGCCTCATATGTTGGGTACAATCTTCCTGTGTTCTGTTAGTAGAATGACCTCTTCCCCAAAGTGTGTAATTCTGGCAAATAAAATAAGACAGTCAAACCTTTGTCCCACACTACAATAAAAAACAAACAGACAAAAAAAAAAAAAAACTCTTGGGAGCCTTTTATTTATAATTAACTCACTGACAGTATTGTTTGGTCAATCAGAAGTCCTTGTGGGGTGTTCACAGGGGGAACTTTCACATAGCAGAATTGCAGGTATCTAGCTCTCCTAGGTCTAAGTTCTTCATATATTTATGACAAATTAGATTGGTATTATAGGTGTCTGTCCTTGTTATATCATAGTCCTTCAAGAGATCAATTGCACCTCTGTTGACCTAAGCTTCCTTCACTAACACCTTCTTGCTCTGATTCAGAATAGCAATTAACACTTTGTACCAGCTTTTGATGCAATAGAGTAATTGTTTTTGTTTAGGTCCTTGGATTCAGGTGATAAAAGTGCTATTAATTGACTCACCATGTCTAGATATTATTAATCACACTTAAGAAATATAATAATCCACGTGTTCTGTTCTTCTTTCTTTTTTTATTACTAAGAAGTTGTTAATGAATTGAGGAATATGTGTATGTGTGTGTATGTATACATATAAGTAGGTATGTATGTATGTATGCTTGTATGTATGTATATCTGCCTGGGAGTTTGTAATGGAGAAGAAATAAGATTGGAAGAGAAAGAATGTAAAAGGATAAAAATGTAGGAAAATGAAGAAGAAAAAAGAGTGCAGAGTAATTAGAACAGGAATGAATTGAAGCAGAGTGTATAACAGAGAATTGGAATTAGAATTGAGACGGAGAGTTAGAGCTAAAAAATTATATAAAATTAGGGCAAGAAAAGTAGAGTTAATGCCGAACAATGAAGAGGCAGGACTGGAACTGCAAGCATGTGAATTTTTACCCTCAGATTAGAGCCATCCTAAGATCCCTTTCGCCATGTGGAGGCAACTTGACCAAACCCTCGGATGAAGCCAGAAAAGCAGGACTGTGTTGGCTGTCGATAATAAAGGAACACAACACATTTTATAACAAGTCGATGATCAAATTAAATGAAGAGAAACTCAAAGCGATTCCACTAAAATCAGGAGCAAGACAAGGCTGTCTACTCTCTCCATACAACAGCAATAAGACAACAGAAGGAGATCAAGGGGATTCAAGTTGGAAAGGAAGAAGTCAAACTTTTGTTATTTGCAGATGATATGATAGTGTATATAAGTGACCCCAAAATTCTATCAGAGAAGTCCTACAGCTTATAAATACCTTCAGTGATGTGGCAGAATACAAAATCAACTCAAAAAAATCAGGAGACCTCCTATACACAAATGCCACTGGCAGTGGCACCAGGACTTATCCCTACTGCATGTAC